CCTCGGCGGGGCGACTTGCCCCGGTCTACCCTACCTCTTTTTTTGGCGAAGTTATAGCGAAAAAACTGTTCAAAATTGATGACGTCAAATTTTCAAACTCAATTATTAGCAATTCTAGACCCCGTAGCGCAAAACAAAGACCACCATTAGACTCCCCGTGACGAGCTGCATCGAATCAATACCCATTTTATGCAAAACTATCAACTTTAAAATTTGACCTTTTTTGGCCTGACCTTGACCTGACCTTGACCTGAACTTCACCAGAAAGTGACCTAAGCCGTACCTGATAGTCTTATAACCAACACCATTGAGTTGGAAATGAAAAATTGGCCATAAAACATGTATCACACAACCTTAGTAAAGTTGGGCTCATGTGACCTGACCTGTGACCCTTGGTGACCTGACCTGTGACCTGACCTGGTATTGCCAGTGACCTCTAATAGCAACATATCTACTAGGCAACTGACGCCCTACCGCTGATTCTCGACAAAATGCGTTTTCCTCGGTGTTATAGCGCATTCCCTAGAAGCCCCGTGAACGGTGAAACATTTCATCTTTGACCTGACCTGTGACGTCATCGGTGACCCCGAGGTCAATGAAATTTGGTTTCCCTCGACAAATTTGACAGGCCTTTCGAACGTCGTTTGAATTTTGCGGATCCGTCCAGTAGTTTCGGAGATACGAGGGGGGGGGCAAAAAATAGCCCCCCCCCCCACCAGGTCGCGTTATAAACAGACCCCACCAGGGCGCGGGTTAATCGCCCCTTAACCCTATTCCTGGCGGGGGGGGCTCAGGAGCCCCCCCCCCCCTGAGGTTTTTTGGTTATTTCTCCCAAACGCGTTGAGCTAGGAAGCTCAAATTTTCTGACTTTTCCTAAAAGGCTTCTACGCAACATGTCTGAAAATTTTGAGTTGATCTGACCTCAGGTCAGGTCACCAGAGGCGGTTTGGTGACCCTACCTCAGAAAAGTTTGCAATCACGCCAGAGCTAGAGTTTTTGACCGATCAATTTCTTCTCTTCAGGCTTTAGTTAGGGTACCAGTATGTGCAATTTGTATATCTCGGAATTTTGATATCGGTGACCTAAGGTCAGGTCAGTTTCGCGACCTCCCCATTATAAGTCAATGGGGGAAAAATCAACTCCCTGTTTTTACCACTAAAACGGGTCGGAATGGCCCCATATACCATACATGACTTCATATGCGATCAACCTTCACTACCTTGGGGTCTGTTTTGCTGTTGGGCAGCTGTGAGGTCATGTGACGTCATCAAAGGTCACCAAAGGTTTTTGGCCAATAACTCCGTACAGGAACAAGATACAGACGCGTGGATGGTCTCATTGTGTTCAGCTCGTCAAGACGCATCGAATGATATACATGATGACCTCGAGGTCACGTGACCTGAGGTCAACCTTTGACCTTGACCTTTCGAGGTCAACATATATATCATTCGATGCGGATTGACGAGAGGATCACGATGATGCCCTTAGTTTGTTCCTATCTTGACTAATTCGAAAGTTATTCGAGAAAAACTATCTCCATATCTAGCGCCGCCATTTTGACTTTTTCGACCCCTGTGACGTCATCTTTGACCTGACCTGAAAATGACCTTAGTAAAAATTGTAGATCTTGACCGTGCGTATCCGATGCCGTTTACCGTTTGTCGCTGCGATGTGTAGTTTTTGAGATCTGAAGGGGGGGCCGAATCGGCCCCCCCCCCCCCTGCCAGTTTCTTGTCCCGGCGGAGCCCGCCAGGAATAGGGTTAACCCGCGCCCCGTAGGGCTACCGGCGGACCCTACCACCCGTAGGGGGGGGGGCCGTTTCGGCCCCCCCCCTAAGATCTCGGAAAGTTACCGGCCGATTTTCAAAATTCAAACGGCGTTCGATAGCCCCACCCGGGAACTACCTTGTGACCAAATTTCATTGACCTAGGTCAAACCGATGACGTCACAGGTCAGGTCAAAGGTCAGATTTTCACCGTTCACAGGCAATTCAAGAAATGTGCTGTGAAAGCGAGTAAATTGGTAATTTATTGAAAACCATCGATGGTACATTGTTCGTCAAACACATACTTTGCTATCTGAGGTCACTGATACCAGGTCAGGTCACAGCGAGGTCAGGTCACCGGGGGTCACAATATGAATGTGTCGTGTGATACATGTTTTATGGTCCATTTTACATGACAAATGCGATTATATGGGTTAGGCAGCCTTTGGGGCCAGCCTAGGTCACGTTTTTGTGAAGGTCAGGTCAAGGTCAGGTCAAATTAGGTCAAATTTCAAAGTTGATATTTTTGCATAAAATGGGTATTGATTCGATGCAGCTCGTCACGGGGAGTCTAATGGTGGTCTTCGTTTTGCTCTACGAGTTCTAGAATTGCCAAAAATTGAGTTTGAAAATTTGACGTCATCATTTTTGAACAGTTTTTTCGCTATAACTTAGCCAAAAAACGAGGTATCGATCTGAAATTTGGTATATAGATAGAAGACAGTAGGCACTATCACATATATTCCGGTTTTTTCGAAACTCAAAAAACTTTTTGGATTTTTTGGCGAATATATCCAAAAAAATGCTTTTTTGATTTTTGGGGGTCAAAACTCAAAAATTTCAAAAATTCGAGATAGCAGTTTTGTAGCCCTGTCAATTCTACACCTTTTATGTCCCGATCATTTTTCTGTATCTTCAAAGTTGTAGTCCTGACAGGTCTTCTCGCGAAGGTCTTTTTTCAGTCGAAAATGACAGAACATGACGTCACTCTGACGTCATTTGTGGCCAACCTATCATAGCCTCTGGAAAAATTTTTGGTCACAATGTGTAAAATTGATGACCGGAGGGGTCCTGAAAGTTTGGTGGCGATATCTCCAGCCGTTTAGGAGATATCGACCGAAAAGGACAGGGGGGGCCGTTTCGGCCCCCCCCCCCCTACGGGGCGCGGGTTAAATGAAGGGCGCGTCACAAGTGCCTCAAGACTTCGTCTGGTCGCCGAAATAATGGTCGCAGTCGATTCTTCGGGTCCACATCTAGCCGCAGCCTCGGGTTCCAGATGTGGCAACTGTGACCCCTCGTTATGTCCCCGATGTCATCTCAGGTCACGAATAGTATCTAACATTTTTTCGCTAATAACTTCTGACAAGAGGCATGCTAGAGCGATGAAAACGCCTTAGATGTGTTCGGCTCGACGTTGCGGATCGACTGATATGCAACACGACCTTTATCGTGCTTATAACCTTAGTTCAACCTACCACTATTTCCACAATGAGCTGAACTTCCTTTACAAATATTTTAGAGACAATGGATTCCCAAAAACACTTGTAGAAACCGCCATTCACAGGTTTTTGAAGAAAGAGTTTTCAAAAAGTCCTACTATGTTCCAGGTACCCAAGCTAGACAGGTACTTTGTGCTACCTTTTTTTGGAAAACAATCAAACAAACTAAGATCTGAGGTAGAGTCCACTCTAAAAAAGTTTTATCCCTACCTGAACCCCAAGATCATTCTCCGCAACACCCGCAGCATAGGCTCTCTTTTCTCGTTTAAAGACGTGATCCCGAAAGCATGCCGCTCTGCTATAGTTTATCAGTTCAGTTGCCCCTCGTGTGAGGGGACATACATAGGCTCGACCTATGTGCGCCTTTATAGCAGAGTGTGCCAGCATCAGGGCAAGTCGGACAGAACGGGAAATTTTCTTACCTCTCCTGTAGCCTCTTCTGTTAGAGACCATTCATTGGCATGCGACGTACCATTTTCGTTGAACGATTTTAAGATCATTGACAAAAAACGTTCAAACTGTAATTTAAGAATTCTGGAATCGCTTCACATATTCAAGTCTAGGCCTTCCATCAATGATAAGTTGTCGGCGTGTAAATTAGATATCGTTACCTAGGGGTCCTTGATGAAACATGAAGCGTTTATGATATGCATGATTTTATGTGCGATACTGTGTTGCTCTTGTTATGTCGCCTGATTGCTTATTTTCTCATAATATGTACTGTTGTGTGTAACTTCACTGATGATGTCTTTGTTCAGAGACGAAACGTTTGATTTTACATGAAGAATATAACGATATGCCTTGTAATAAGGTTTCTACTGCTCCTGAAGCCAACAAAAGTCAGACTTTTTGACGCAATTAAACGAGACCAGTCAAAAGTTATTGCCGAAAAACACTTAGTAAAAACGACTATTTATGGAGTTCTTGCCCTCTGGAGGCTACACCGTTGTCCTGAGGTCAAATCTGAGGACATAATTGCGAAAGAGCGTCAAAAGAGCTATCGAATGCGCTTTTCCGCGGCGCTGTAGCTCTATCGGTTCCCGAGTTAGCCATTGGCAGTTTCCAAAATGTTGAAATAGCTAACATTTTGCCTTTGGTGACCTCTGGTGACCTGACCTTTGACCCTGACCTAAAAAAATGACTGAAGTGTTTTCGTCCTGATTTTGGCCGTTCTTTCGAATGCCGCTTACCGCGTGTCGCTACGTGGCCCAGGAGCCGAGTTAGAAGGGGGGGGGGGTTTAGACACACACCCCTCCCCGGCCCGGCGCGGAAGTCGCGGAGCACCGGCCCGGCGCGGGATAATAGGGCCTATAGGGGACATCATGTGTAATAAATACCTAACATAGTGTATTTAAAACATCATAGTGTTATTTATTCCACTATGGGGACATAAAGCGATTCTGGCACACAATACCTACTGTAAACGGTTTTTAGTGACCCCAGACTCGAACTGTTTGTTTTTCCCGTCCCCTGTTTACTCGGGCTGTTTTACTGTCTTCTGTTTACTTCTGTTTCGATTGTTCCTTGTTCCCCGCTCCTTCGCTACTGGCCTGCAGGTATGACTGATTGATACCTAGCATTACTGGCCGGTCAATAGGCCGTGACGCGCCATGCTCAGTCCGCACTGCACAGTGAACGGATGACGCCGTCCGGTGGCGTCACAGCCGGCCGATTAGGTGACCGGGCGGCGCGGCCGGCGGGGCGGCGTCAGCCCGGACCGCCGGCACAGGGGTCAGGCAGCAGACGGGCGGGTTCGGTGATACAGTCCGCTGTGCCGGCCGACACCTCCGACCGCATCGGCACCGCATCCTGAGGTAATGGAGCGCACGGGACTGCAGGACGACATTATCTAATTCCGGGATAATTGTGGGCTGATTTTGGTCTTAGTCGAAAGTTGCCCGCGCAGGGTTATTGCTTGATTAGGGGATATTTGTGGTTTAGTCTTGGGTTTCGTTTTGTTTTGTTTACAGTTGAACTGTCGTTCGGTTGTGGGATACCTATTTCGCATTCAGCAAAACATGTGCACTGCTCAGTGCTCAATTGATCGGTCTCACGAGTAGCATGTTTAGGTGCCGGTAACAACTAACAAACCACAAAAATAAACTGTTCTTGACACAAGAGATCTAGAGATAAAAAGACGGTTGCGACTAGATCACAGCAATGCATAAGTACCAGAAACCCGAAGCACGTCCATTACCTCCTGATAACCTTATCAACATTCACCTATAGACCAATCAGCCACCAAATAATAAAAATCAGTCAAAAGTCAAAACAGAGTTCATCTACGATGGCAGAATACCTACGTGCAGGGACGACACGTCATGCATTTTATCCCAAACTGCACCACTGAGCCTGCCACTGAGCTGCAAAATGTGTGCCTGTCCTGTCAAAAAAAGCTCGCCGGGGGCGCTGCCATGGCGCCTATGACGGCGCAGAGCTGGCATTGATTGGTCTGTTTGCCGGCTGTGTCCAAGGCTAGTAAAATGCGCCGTGAGCGTTGCACCGTGCACTGTGCAGTGTGCATTGCCGGCGCCCCGGGCGGGTCGCCGGTCCATGCCACACGACCCCGCGCCGCTGACACGGCAGCCGACGCCGCCGGGGGGGGGGGGGGGGCGGGATGGACCACCGAACACTGAGCACTAAGCAGTGCGCGTCCAGACGAGACGACACCCGAGAACGACGCGCCGACGTTACTGCTCCAGCCGCCATTGTCCCACCGCATGACGGTCGAACCCGGGTCAATTTGCCGTGGAACAGAAATACGAGAGTAAAGCCATCCAACACTTTTTCTTTATAATTATGTAGGCATTCATATTTGCTTCCTTTCAACTAGCAGAAGAAAACAATGAGCTTGTTCCGCCAAGTCATTACTGAAATTCACCACTACGAGTACAAGGGGAATTACGTCTTAGTTAAACACGTCAATTATGGCTCCATGGACGGTGTGCCTAAATCCGTCCATTACCACACTCCTTAATCCTATTGCTGAGGTGCAGGTGTTTCGGCCCGTAACGACGCGTCGCCGTGTGTTCGTCTGTTCCAGCTCTCCCGTCACTCTCCCGTCAGTAATGGCGGGAGCCGGCGGCAGCCTCTCGGTAACGCCGACGCCCAGCATCTGCCGGCACTTCAACGCGCCGGCCGGCTGCCGGCGGCCCGACTGCCGGGCGCTCCACGTCTGCTTCTACTTCGTGACCAGCCAGTGTCGGTTCGGGGCGCGCTGTCGACTGCCGCACACCCTGGAGACGGAGCGGACGGCGACGCTGCTGCGCCAGCTCGGCGTCCCGGCCGGCCGCCGGCAGCCGCTGCAGCTGCTCACCGAGCTGCGCTGCCAGTACACCTCGGCGGGGGCCGGCAGCGGCCCAGCGACAGCGGCCGGCGGACTGCCGCCCGTCTGCCTTCACTACAACGGCAGCGGGTGTCTGAAGGAGGACTGCCCCTCGCTGCACCTCTGCTACCTTATGGTGACGAGCCGCTGCCCCGGAGGCCGCTGCCGCAGGAGTCACAGTCTGAGCAGCCCGCATAACGCGAGCGTGCTGCAGCGGAGCGGCATCGACTACTTCAACACCTCTGCGGTGCTGGGCAGACTGCGACGGGAGGCTGACGAGCGCCCGCTGCGGCCAACCGTCTGCCGCCGCCACAACAGCCGCGCCGGGTGCCTCTCCAGCGACTGCCTCGCCCTGCACTGCTGCTTCCACTACGCGCGCGGCGACTGCCTGTACGGTTCACGCTGCAGGCTGGAGCACCGCCTCAGCAGCGAGCACAACCACCGCGTCCTGCGCTTCTTCAACGTGGGCGCGTCCAGCGCGCTGCGGGAAGTCAGGGAAGAGCTGGGCGCCTCAGCGCCGGCCGAGCCGCCGACCGTGGCCGCGGAGCGGGCCGCCGGAGCTGACCGTCTGCTGGAGGAGCGGGCGGAGCAGACGGGCCGGCTGCTGGAGGCGCAGGCGGAGCAGACGGGCCAGCTGCTCGAGGAGCGGCAGCGGCTGGAGCAGACGCTGCAGACGGTGGCGCGGCTCGGCCTGGAGGCGGAGCGGGAGCTGGTCGACACTCGGCGCACCGGGCTCGCCCTGCAGGCCGAGGCCGAGCACGTGACGCTGGTGGCCGAGGAGCGGGAGAGAGAGCTGGCCGCGCGCCACGGCACTCTGCTCGCCGAGCGCGACAGTCTGGAGCGCAGCCTGCTGGTCACGGCCGAGGGCAGCGACCAGCTGGAGGGCGTGGTGGGCGGCCTCAACGCCAAGCTCTCCGCCCTGGAGGTGGACTACGAGCGGAGCCGACAGGAGCAGCAGCGGCTGGCCGCCGCCCTGGAGCAGGAGCGCCTCCTGCAGCGGGAGCAGCAGGAGCAGCGCGAGCAGGAGCTGGAGCGGGCGCTGGTCTGCAGCGTCTGCCTGGAGCTGCTGGTGCGCGCCACCACGCTCGGCTGCAGCCACACGTTCTGCCGCGACTGTGTGGACTCGGTGCAGCAGCGGGCCGCCGGCGGAGCCGTCTGTCCCATGTGCCGCGCGCCCATCGTCACCCGGACCGCCTCCGTCACGCTGGACCAGATGGTCGAGCGCGCCGTCAACTCCATGAGCCACGAGAAGCGCGCTGCGCGGCAGACGGTGCTCCGTGAGCGCGGACTGGCCGCCGAGCCGTAAACTCACGGCGGCACCGCCAGTTGAGCCGGTGGATTTCATGGAAAGTGTGTGTGGCTGCGTGGTAAGGCTCAGACATTTTAGAGCCACTCCAAAACAAAAATGTGGGACGCATACCAACTCACTTTTTGACTATTTGTAGCACTATAATGACTATATGATTTATGCTCATTCTCTTATGCTCTTATGCAGACGACTTGTCTTTTGCATAAAAGATAGGCAAAGACTGCGCTGTTGAGTGCAGGATGCAGTGCAGTCTCCAGCAGCAGCAGCAGGTCAGGTTAGATGTTTAGATATGTAGTTTGAGTTACTTGGGCAGTTAGGACCAAGTTAGGACTAGGTAGGCATAAGGCAGTGTTAGCGTGCGCTTCTAGTGACACATGAGTCAGGAATCGTAATTCGCAAGTTAGCCATGAGCGTGACATGCATGACAGATGACTGGCATAATGAACATGGGTCGCTCAAACCAGGCTCAAACACCCGTTTGCCTACCTGTTCATGCCGTGATGTCCGTTGCCGAGCCAGGGATTGTTTCCCGTGCCGCGGTGCATCTTGTAAGATCAAGATGACCTCGTCGGAACCGACTTTCGAGAGTCAAGTACCTAATTCCGGAAATAAAGACTAGTCACTATCTATTGGAACTAACGTAATGTCCAAGGTCCTCCTCGCCACGTGATTCTTGTCATTTTGCCTTGGTTTCCCTTAGTTGAGTTACGCCGACCGCGCCGACCTCATTCCTACATATGGCAGCACTGTTTTATGTGCGTGAAGTTGGCGTCGGATTCGGATTCGTATTCAGCGTCGAGTACCGAATCACTTGAAAACGTCATATCTGGTCAATTCGGGGACGGGGAGCACGAATATGACATTAATTTTGCCCTAGCAGGTATCCCTTATCCCTTAATCGTCCCTTAAATGACGGGGCGCGCCAAAAGTGCCTCAGGGGCTCTTCCGATCGCGAAAATAATGGTCCCAGGCGATTCCCCGGGTCGATATCTAGCCGCACCACCACTAACTTCACACGTGCCTCATATCCCTTATCCCTTAATCGTCCCTTAAATGACGGGGCGCGCCAAAAGTGCCTCAGGGGTTCTTCCGATCGCGAAAATAATGGTCCCAGGCAATTCCCCGGGTCGATATCTAGCCGCACCACCACTAACTTCACACGTGCCTCACATCCCTCATCCCTTAATCGTCCCTTAAACGACGGGGCGCGCCAAAAGTGCCTCAGGGGTTCTTCTGATCGCGAAAATAATGGTCCCAGGCGATTCCCCGGGTCGATATCTAGCCGCACCACCACTAACTTCACACGTGCCTCATATCCCTCATCCCTTAATCGTCCCTTAAATGACGGGGCGCGCAAAAAGTGCCTCAGGGGTTCTTCTGATCGCGAAAATAATGGTCCCAGGCGATTCCCCGGGTCGATATCTAGCCGCACCACCACTAACTTCACACGTGCCTCATATCCCTTATCCCTTAATCGTCCCTTAAACGACGGGGCGCGCCAAAAGTGCCTCAGGGGCTCTTCCGATCACGAAAATAATGGTCCCAGGCGATTCCCCGGGTCGATATCTAGCCGCACCACCACTAACTTCACACGTGCCTCACATCCCTCATCCCTTAATCGTCCCTTAAATGACGGGGCGCGCCAAAAGTGCCTCAGGGGTTCTTCCGATCGCGAAAATAATGGTCCCAGGCAATTCCCCGGGTCGATATCTAGCCGCACCACCACTAACTTCACACGTGCCTCACATCCCTCATCCCTTAATCGTCCCTTAAACGACGGGGCGCGCCAAAAGTGCCTCAGGGGTTCTTCCGATCGCGAAAATAATGGTCCCAGGCGATTCCCCGGGTCGATATCTAGCCGCACCACCACTAACTTCACACGTGCCTCATATCCCTTATCCCTTAATCGTCCCTTAAATGACGGGGCGCGCCAAAAGTGCCTCAGGGGTTCTTCCGATCGCGAAAATAATGGTCCCAGGCAATTCCCCGGGTCGATATCTAGCCGCACCACCACTAACTTCACACGTGCCTCACATCCCTCATCCCTTAATCGTCCCTTAAACGACGGGGCGCGTCAAAAGTGCCTCAGGGGTTCTTCTGATCGCGAAAATAATGGTCCCAGGCGATTCCCCGGGTCGATATCTAGCCGCACCACCACTAACTTCACACGTGCCTCACATCCCTCATCCCTTAATCGTCCCTTAAACGACGGGGCGCGCCAAAAGTGCCTCAGGGGTTCTTCTGATCGCGAAAATAATGGTCCCAGGCGATTCCCCGGGTCGATATCTAGCCGCACCACCACTAACTTCACACGTGCCTCATATCCCTCATCCCTTAATCGTCCCTTAAATGACGGGGCGCGCCAAAAGTGCCTCAGGGGTTCTTCCGATCGCGAAAAGAATGGTCCCAGGCGATTCCCCGGGTCGATATCTAGCCGCACCACCACTAACTTCACACGTGCCTCATATCCCTCATCCCTTAATCGTCCCTTAAATGACGGGGCGCGCCAAAAGTGCCTCAGGGGCTCTTCCGATCGCGAAAATAATGGTCCCAGGCGATTCCCCGGGTCGATATCTAGCCGCACCACCACTAACTTCACACGTGCCTCATATCCCTTATCCCTTAATCGTCCCTTAAATGACGGGGCGCGCCAAAAGTGCCTCAGGGGTTCTTCCGATCGCGAAAATAATGGTCCCAGGCAATTCCCCGGGTCGATATCTAGCCGCACCACCACTAACTTCACACGTGCCTCACATCCCTCATCCCTTAATCGTCCCTTAAACGACGGGGCGCGCCAAAAGTGCCTCAGGGGTGCCCCTGAGGCCCTGAGGCCCTGAGGCACTTTTGGCGCGCCCCGTCGTTTAAGGGACGATTAAGGGATGAGGGATGTGAGGCACGTGTGAAGTTAGTGGTGGTGCGGCTAGATATCGACCCGGGGAATTGCCTGGGACCATTATTTTCGCGATCGGAAGAACCCCTGAGGCACTTTTGGCGCGCCCCGTCATTTAAGGGACGATAAAGGGATAAGGGATATGAGGCACGTGTGAAGTTAGTGGTGGTGCGGCTAGATATCGACCCGGGGAATCGCCTGGGACCATTATTTTCGCGATCGGAAGAGCCCCTGAGGCACTTTTGGCGCGCCCCGTCATTTAAGGGACGATTAAGGGATAAGGGATATGAGGCACGTGTGAAGTTAGTGGTGGTGCGGCTAGATATCGACCCGGGGAATCGCCTGGGACCATTATTTTCGCGATCGGAAGAACCCCTGAGGCACTTTTGGCGCGCCCCGTCATTTAAGGGACGATTAAGGGATAAGGGATATGAGGCACGTGTGAAGTTAGTGGTGGTGCGGCTAGATATCGACCCGGGGAATCGCCTGGGACCATTATTTTCGCGATCGGAAGAACCCCTGAGGCACTTTTGGCGCGCCCCGTCATTTAAGGGACGATTAAGGGATAAGGGATATGAGGCACGTGTGAAGTTAGTGGTGGTGCGGCTAGATATCGACCCGGGGAATCGCCTGGGACCATTATTTTCGCGATCGGAAGAACCCTTGAGGCACTTTTGGCGCGCCCCGTCATTTAAGGGACGATTAAGGGATAAGGGATATGAGGCACGTGTGAAGTTAGTGGTGGTGCGGCTAGATATCGACCCGGGGAATCGCCTGGGACCATTCTTTTCGCGATCGGAAGAACCCCTGAGGCACTTTTGGCGCGCCCCGTCATTTAAGGGACGATTAAGGGATAAGGGATATGAGGCACGTGTGAAGTTAGTGGTGGTGCGGCTAGATATCGACCCGGGGAATCGCCTGGGACCATTATTTTCGCGATCAGAAGAACCCCTGAGGCACTTTTGGCGCGCCCCGTCATTTAAGGGACGATTAAGGGATGAGGGATATGAGGCACGTGTGAAGTTAGTGGTGGTGCGGCTAGATATCGACCCGGGGAATCGCCTGGGACCATTATTTTCGCGATCGGAAGAACCCCTGAGGCACTTTTGGCGCGCCCCGTCATTTAAGGGACGATTAAGGGATGAGGGATATGAGGCACGTGTGAAGTTAGTGGTGGTGCGGCTAGATATCGACCCGGGGAATCGCCTGGGACCATTATTTTCGCGATCAGAAGAACCCCTGAGGCACTTTTGGCGCGCCCCGTCGTTTAAGGGACGATTAAGGGATGAGGGATGTGAGGCACGTGTGAAGTTAGTGGTGGTGCGGCTAGATATCGACCCGGGGAATTGCCTGGGACCATTATTTTCGCGATCGGAAGAACCCCTGAGGCACTTTTGGCGCGCCCCGTCATTTAAGGGACGATTAAGGGATAAGGGATATGAGGCACGTGTGAAGTTAGTGGTGGTGCGGCTAGATATCGACCCGGGGAATCGCCTGGGACCATTATTTTCGCGATCGGAAGAACCCCTGAGGCACTTTTGGCGCGCCCCGTCATTTAAGGGACGATTAAGGGATAAGGGATATGAGGCACGTGTGAAGTTAGTGGTGGTGCGGCTAGATATCGACCCGGGGAATCGCCTGGGACCATTCTTTTCGCGATCGGAAGAACCCCTGAGGCACTTTTGGCGCGCCCCGTCATTTAAGGGACGATTAAGGGATAAGGGATATGAGGCACGTGTGAAGTTAGTGGTGGTGCGGCTAGATATCGACCCGGGGAATCGCCTGGGACCATTATTTTCGCGATCAGAAGAACCCCTGAGGCACTTTTGGCGCGCCCCGTCATTTAAGGGACGATTAAGGGATGAGGGATATGAGGCACGTGTGAAGTTAGTGGTGGTGCGGCTAGATATCGACCCGGGGAATCGCCTGGGACCATTATTTTCGCGATCGGAAGAACCCCTGAGGCACTTTTGGCGCGCCCCGTCATTTAAGGGACGATTAAGGGATGAGGGATATGAGGCACGTGTGAAGTTAGTGGTGGTGCGGCTAGATATCGACCCGGGGAATCGCCTGGGACCATTATTTTCGCGATCAGAAGAACCCCTGAGGCACTTTTGGCGCGCCCCGTCGTTTAAGGGACGATTAAGGGATGAGGGATGTGAGGCACGTGTGAAGTTAGTGGTGGTGCGGCTAGATATCGACCCGGGGAATTGCCTGGGACCATTATTTTCGCGATCGGAAGAACCCCTGAGGCACTTTTGGCGCGCCCCGTCATTTAAGGGACGATTAAGGGATAAGGGATATGAGGCACGTGTGAAGTTAGTGGTGGTGCGGCTAGATATCGACCCGGGGAATCGCCTGGGACCATTATTTTCGCGATCGGAAGAACCCCTGAGGCACTTTTGGCGCGCCCCGTCATTTAAGGGACGATTAAGGGATAAGGGATATGAGGCACGTGTGAAGTTAGTGGTGGTGCGGCTAGATATCGACCCGGGGAATCGCCTGGGACCATTCTTTTCGCGATCGGAAGAACCCCTGAGGCACTTTTGGCGCGCCCCGTCATTTAAGGGACGATTAAGGGATAAGGGATATGAGGCACGTGTGAAGTTAGTGGTGGTGCGGCTAGATATCGACCCGGGGAATCGCCTGGGACCATTATTTTCGCGATCGGAAGAACCCTTGAGGCACTTTTGGCGCGCCCCGTCATTTAAGGGACGATTAAGGGATAAGGGATATGAGGCACGTGTGAAGTTAGTGGTGGTGCGGCTAGATATCGACCGGGGGAATCGCCTGGGACCATTCTTTTCGCGATCGGAAGAACCCCTGAGGCACTTTTGGCGCGCCCCGTCATTTAAGGGACGATTAAGGGATAAGGGATATGAGGCACGTGTGAAGTTAGTGGTGGTGCGGCTAGATATCGACCCGGGGAATCGCCTGGACCATTATTTTCGCGATCAGAAGAACCCCTGAGGCACTTTTGGCGCGCCCCGTCATTTAACCCTCGCCCGCACATGGGGGGGGGGGTGGTTGCCACCCCCCCAGGCAGTCTTTCTGCTCTGCACTCAACATTTTTAAAGCTAGAAGGCTGATTTTTCGTATAGCTGCTCGTCTATCCTTTCTTGATGTCCACTGAAAATTTCAAGTTTCTGTGATTTTTGGTTTCGGAGATATGACCTTGTTTTTCAGGTCATGTCATGACCCAAATGGCCAATTCTCAACATCTTGCGTGTGCCATGGGCCTTGTGAGCTTTTGACACCCTGATTTCGGCCTTTTTTGCCAGTCTTACCTCCCACCTATCATGGAACATGTTGTTCGACGATGTACAGGGGTCAAGGTCAGGGTCAAGGTCAACCTAGGTCATCTAAGATAATTGCGTTTTAGGCAAGCGGAATTTACTTTTTGTGAAGTTTTTTGACTGCATTTTTGGTAAAAGCTTCTCAGATCATGATTTCATGTGATATGGACCCAAAAACAATCGGTGCACACATCAGTATACACACAGACACACACAGACATACAAACACATATAATTGACCTTGACCTAACTTGACCTGAAATGACCTCAGCAGCAAAAATCTGGTCGGATAGTGTGACAAAGAGGTTCTAGCTGGCTTGGCACCAGAAAACAGCATCGTCATCGGTATTTGATAGGCAGCGCACTTGATATCCAACGGTGACCCAAAACAGCAACATTTTTTAGTTTGACCTGACCTGGAAGGTCAATGACTGACCTGAGAAGGTAAAACTGGGTATCATTGGATTCGTCTCTTCCCAAAGAATCTTTTTGGTCTTTACTGCTAAGCTCTATCTCCAACAGGAACGAAATGGCGCGGGGGGGGGGTGGCAACCCCCCCCCCCATGTGCGTTCTAGGATGGGAAAATGGCATGTGCGGGCGAGGGTTAAGGGACGATTAAGGGATAAGGGATATGAGGCACGTGTGAAGTTAGTGGTGGTGCGGCTAGATATCGACCCGGGGAATCGCCTGGGACCATTATTTTCGCGATCGGAAGAACCCTTGAGGCACTTTTGGCGCGCCCCGTCATTTAAGGGACGATTAAGGGATAAGGGATATGAGGCACGTGTGAAGTTAGTGGTGGTGCGGCTAGATATCGACCCGGGGAATCGCCTGGGACCATTCTTTTCGCGATCGGAAGAACCCCTGAGGCACTTTTGGCGCGCCCCGTCATTTAAGGGACGATTAAGGGATAAGGGATATGAGGCACGTGTGAAGTTAGTGGTGGTGCGGCTAGATATCGACCCGGGGAATCGCCTGGGACCATTATTTTCGCGATCAGAAGAACCCCTGAGGCACTTTTGGCGCGCCCCGTCATTTAAGGGACGATTAAGGGATAAGGGATATGAGGCACGTGTGAAGTTAGTGGTGGTGCGGCTAGATATCGACCCGGGGAATCGCCTGGGACCATTATTTTCGCGATCGGAAGAACCCCTGAGGCACTTTTGGCGCGCCCCGTCATTTAAGGGACGATTAAGGGATGAGGGATATGAGGCACGTGTGAAGTTAGTGGTGGTGCGGCTAGATATCGACCCGGGGAATCGCCTGGGACCATTATTTTCGCGATCAGAAGAACCCCTGAGGCACTTTTGGCGCGCCCCGTCGTTTAAGGGACGATTAAGGGATGAGGGATGTGAGGCACGTGTGAAGTTAGTGGTGGTGCGGCTAGATATCGACCCGGGGAATTGCCTGGGACCATTATTTTCGCGATCGGAAGAACCCCTGAGGCACTTTTGGCGCGCCCCGTCATTTAAGGGACGATTAAGGGATAAGGGATATGAGGCACGTGTGAAGTTAGTGGTGGTGCGGCTAGATATCGACCCGGGGAATCGCCTGGGACCATTATTTTCGTGATCGGAAGAACCCTTGAGGCACTTTTGGCGCGCCCCGTCGTTTAAGGGACGATTAAGGGATAAGGGATACCTGCTAGGGCAAAATTAATGTCATATTCGTGCTCCCCGTCCCCGAATTGACCAGATATGACGTTTTCAAGTGATTCGGTACTCGACGCTGAATACGAATCCGAATCCGACGCCAACTTCACGCACATCACTGTTTTGGGGTGTCAACGACGCATTTGCGACAATTGGGAGTGAGTGCGGCTGGTGCGGCTGAGTGCGGTTTATGTGTTGTTAAATATCAATATCAATATTGATATACGTATTTATATACACTGTGGATATACCCTGCGGTTTATAGCCTTGGTGCGGCTGCAAAAATAATTCTCGATTGTTGCTGGTATCTTGGCCTTGTATTGGCTAGTATTGACGACCGACTTCTTTAGGTAGGTATGTACCTATTATTTTGCGGTATTTTAAATTTTTCTGTTAAATAATGACGGTCATAGACCATAGCTTATCACTATGCATTATGTGAGAATAACAATCTAGGCATAGGCGGCAGGATATCAGTAGAGCAGACATCACACGAAGGTTTTCCAACCAAGGAGAGGCGCTATGCCTGGAGGTACTTCTTTCTAACAAAACCTAAACAAACCTAACCTAACCTGACCTAACCTAACCTGACCTAACCTAACCTTCAACCTACAACCTACAAACCTACAAACCTACCCTACAATCCACAGCACTTCTCCTTGGTAGGAAAACCTTCGTGTGATGTCTGCTCTACTAATTGTAATGCTGGCGGCGGAACGGGGAGGGCACCGGGGCACAGTGACCCCCTTTGATTTTGGCATCTTAACATTAGCCCTATGGGTGTTGCATAGAAAGAATGGGACCAAAAGTCTGCAGTGCCAACAGTGCCCCCCCCCCCTTAATTGAAGGTGTTCTGCCATTACTGAATCTGGGGTAGATATTGGGTATACTGATGCTACAGTATAAAGGGTAACCTCTGCTCAATCCTAACAGGGAAGCTCAATCTATCTCAATCATGGCAACACTGGAAGTGCATAACACGAATTATTGACCACTTAAAGCAAATATACCATTTTAACATGGGATTTTGAACTGGAATACCCAATTTTGTACCTACCTTGAGCTGAGACTAGCACTGTAGCACAAATCAGGAGCTTTAACAGCCCAAAGCCCATTGATCACCCTAGGCAAAGGAAGTTAATACCTAGCCTTAAAGGAAATAGTTCACTTTCCTGAAATTAGTATTTTGCTATGGATTTATGGTTTTTTATGCTCAAAATGATCAGAAAATAAAACAAAACGTTTTTGTAAAAAGGATTATTTTCTATATTTTAGTATAAGAAGAACTATATTCTATATAAAATAATGTTTGACGCGGAAGCTTATTACGCGTTGACCAATCATATTGCGTAGGACAAACCCATCGGCTGTAAGCAGCATTCTGATTGGCTGACGATGACGTGACTGCATTCCTCAGCAAGGCACGCATTCCTCTGCAAGGCACTCTTTTCGGAACAAAAAATGGAATATCTTCGTCTAGGGTGATCGTTGGGCCGTAAAAGCTTCTGATTTGTGCTAGTCTCAGCGCAAGCAACAAAACTGCTATTCCAGTTCCAAACCCCATGTTAAAAGTGAACTATTTCCTTTAATAGGTACCATAATACCTGGCAAGTAATACTAAAATCAAGTGTAGCATCAGTTTCAAACTAACAAGTAACAGCACATGCTTGTAGGCTAGTGAAACAACATCATGTTTAAAGTCATTTTTCAAAGTTTTTTTCTAGTTGTGAGTAGTTTGTAAAATCTCTTGTTTTCAGAAATACCATGAGTTCTGGTCGTCCCCGCCACCGGGGTGGTCGTCACGGCAACAGTCGCCATGGTGACGGCGGCGAGCGTCGTCCGCCGGAGCCCAAGCCGGAGCCGGCCGCGGACGACACGCCCGTGACGGCCATGTTTCGCGGCTTCGCCTCCCAGCTGGACAGCAAGCACGACCTCTACGAGCGGCTGGTCAAGAAGAGCCGTGACGTCACCATCGAGAGCAAGCGCATCATCTTCATGCTGCACAGGGTGACGAGGTGGGTGGAACTCAGGGCGATGGTGGATCTGTTGTGGCCTATCTAGCTCTGTTACGGGACGGGGGATGGTGTAGCCGAGTCTGACTGCACCTGACACCGCGCCTGCCCTGTCCCGCCCGGCAGTGAGGAGCAGGACCGGCAGGTTCTGGAGGAGGCGGCCGGACGGTTCCGTCAGCTGGAGGGCGGCACGCTGCGCCAGATTGCCGAGGAGCTGGCCGGCCACGACCCGTACCTGTACCTGCGCGCCATCAGCCCCGGTGAGACCGGACGGCCAGTCAGCTGTGCTGCGGGGCCGTATGCTGCGTGAGAACTGTGGAACACCACCGTGTTTGCTATTCTTACGCTATCTTAATATTCATTATTTGTCATATTTGTAACATTCATTCATCCTTAGCGAGCCTTTTGGTGGTTGATGTTATTAACGAATTGCTGCACCTACCAGCTCTGCAAAGTGATAGTTACCCGTCAACGGTCAACGTGTACTGACCTACTCATTGCCGTACGGCCGTTCCGTGTGTTCAACAGGCCTGCAGGAGTACATTGAGGCGCTCTCCTTCTACCACTATCTACTCAACGACCGAGTGATCAGCTGCGCCGAGGTTCAGCAGCGCCTGACATACCCCGGGGGCAGTGCGGAGCCGGCGTCAGGGGCCGAGCCCTCCACCACTGCCGGCGAGCCGCCGCCGCCCGCTGAGACCGCACCGGGAGAGGTGGGTGCCATGAGACTGTGTGTACCGGGCGGGGTGGGTGCTGAGAGACTGTACCGGGCGGGGTGAGTGTCATGATACAAGGTACGGGGCGGGGTGGTAGCTACTGTCGTCAGTGCCTATAGGGGCCGTCCCGCCGGGGTCTCGACTCTCCGCCCATTATGCCTTGCCCAGTCCTGACTACCTTTGGGTGCCAGTCTCCATCGACCCCCGCATGGCCTCGGAGCTGTTCTACACATCCCCACTGCCACCGTCCCCCTACCGCTGTGCTAACCCGTCTCTCTGCGCCAGGGCGAGGTGGGCGACCCGCTGCGGCTGCCGCTGCCCTACCACGAGTACGTGCTGGGTCTGGCCGACCTGACGGGCGAGCTGATGCGCCGCTGTATCAGCTCGGTGAGCTCGGGCCAGCTGGAGGAGTGCTGGCGGCTCTGTGCCCTGCTGCGCACCATCCACGAGGGATTCGTCAACATCGGTGGGTGCGGCGAACCGGCGCCGGCCGCGGTGGGGTGCCGGGTATCATAGCCTGCTATCTATTACCGGATTTGACAGGATTTGTCGTTTTATGGCATCTTCTGTGCCAACCGCACTGATAGACGTCTTGGATAGCGATAAAGGGGTAATAAGGCATATGCCCGCGCTCCGCAGTCTTGGTACATATCATAAAACAGTCCGTGAGCTTTCATGAAATGTCATATCGGCTGGACTATTTTACGTGTTCTGTATCGAGCAGTTCCAGTGACTCTGGTACAGTGTACTGGAGTCATTGACTGACAATTGCAGTCAATGACTCCAGTACGGTGGTGTGACGGTCAGTGATTCCAACACGGTGTTTGTGACGATTAGTGACTCCAGTACGGCGTACTCGTATGTGACGGTGAGTTACTCCAGTACGGTGTTTGTGACGATTAGTTACTCCAGTACGGTGTATGTGACGATTAGTCACATACAGTTACTTCAGTCAGTACGGTGTTGACGATTAGTTACTTCAGTACGGTGTATGTGACGATTAGTTACTTCAGTACGGTGCATGTGACGATTAGTTACTTCAGTACGGTATATGTGACGGTGAGTTACTCCAGTACGGTGTATGTGACGGTAGGTGACTCCAGTACGGTGTATGTGACTGTGAGTTACTACAGTACGGTGTATGTGACGGTAGGTGACTCCAGTAAGGTGTTCTAACCAGGGCTGCGGAGTCGATGGATTTTAAAGTGACTCCGACTCCGACTCCGGCTTCAAAAATCACTCCGACTCCAACTCCGACTCCCGGCAGTTCTATTAAAATCCATATTATGGTATTGAAGTTCATCATGGAGATGTTTTTATCTTGCGTTTAACGACTCCTTGTGCGTTCCAAGGCTTTGCGTTACAAGGATTAAAAAGCAGGTTCTGGGGTATTCACCGTCTTCTACCTCTTTCGCTGAAAACGTTCATCCAATACAGCAGAATGTTCATCCGTCTCCGCACGGCCGTCTCCGGCAGGTAACACCGGTCCGCGCGAGATCACGCGCAAGCTGGCCACGCTGCGGCAGAGTCTGACCAAGGTCGAGAACGCCTGCTACCAGCTGAAGGTTCGCGGGGAGGAGATCCCACGGCACATGCTGGCCGATGTGTTCTCTGCCGCGGACGACTACGGCGCGCACGACGACTACGCCGCGGACTAGTCGGGCGAGTGGACCACTGGACAGTCACGGCGAGCTAGTCCGGCGGCTGCTCGGGGCCGCGGGGGACGGCCGCAGTGGGCCGCCGGCGCGGTCGGAGTGCGACTGTCAGATTGTGCGACTGACACGGTCTGGTCTGATCGTGCGAGTCAGCGCGATGGCTCGAGTCTCACCGGGTGTGCGGGCAGTACACGATCTGGGGATGATGGCCATGGAGCTGTGCGAACTCTGTGTGAGGACAGAACCACTGGAAGGTGACGTGGGCCCGCCGCCGACCCCAGGGTACACTCCAGTCATGGCCGTATTCACAATCACGGCACCTGGCCTGCGTGGTGCCGTCTGCGTGTCGCCGGGCGACCATCAGGGGTAAACTTCGATTGTGAACACGGACACAAAAATAACCCGTTACCCGTTACTCCTACCCCTACCCTTAACCCGTGATTGTGAATACTGCCACAGAGGCGGCTCCATTGCACTGCGGCCCACCAGGAGAGGCGGAAGAACTCTCACCCTTGCTTCTGGTATCAGAAGCGGACGACTGTGATGCTTCTTCTACATTCTGTGCTTTGATAGCAACGTGTGCGATGTTATTTCGGTGTTTGTGCTGTAGCCCAGTTTTCTATTTAGTGTTGTTGAGTGGGGTTTTGACAAATATAATTTCTTTGGGTTTTTATAACTGTTTCGCGATATGGAATTTTTATTCAGACGTCCCTTCAATGTAGCTATTTTCAGCATAACCCACGTCGGTGCCGCTTCTGCCGCCTCGGATGGCCCTTCAGTTCACAGTTCACTCGTCCACTTGACTCAGATGTGCTGTGTATTGGTGACAAATATGGACGGAATCGATACACTATCACAGGTGCTTCAGAATGACTCTCACACGTGAACAGATCAACACGACACGCTTCGGTGGCATACACTGGGGTGCCGCTGTGACCATTAGTGCCTGCCTGTCGTGACGTTCCGAACCTGGACCTAACGGCTCGGAACAGAGTCTAGAGTATGACTGAGACGACGACTGGCAATCGCACCGATTCATATAACCGCGCGGTGGAGCTGATGGCAGACTAGCTGGCTGGGTCGGCAGTGCGGTGACCAGCAGCGACCTCCTCCGTCTCAGAAGGGCCGGTAGCCGCTGTGAACCCACGCAGCCTGGACACGTGAGCGCGAGTGCGGTCAGACGCCAGGCAGGAAACTGACAGTTCGAAGGCATAACAGAAACTAACGATTCTGCATCGCATACGATTATCCATAACCAGCACGACAGTTATAGATTTGACTAGATTATTGTAATATCAATGAATGTGGATGCTGCGATAAAATGTGCGCAACTAGCTTTTAATTGTAAAAGAGATCGCATCATTTTTGCAACAAGCATGCAGCGTAAAATTATGTCAGCTTCTTCCACTCTAAGGACAAATAGGTACTGGTCAAACAGATCTGCTTTACATCACAAAAAAATGACGCAATATCTGACAAATGACCAGCCGCCGTGACTAGATGCATGATAAAACACGATAGAGGCAACAGCTGAGAAGCAGCATCACATTGAAGGCACATTATGTGCTGTGGGCAGGGCATGCAGTGCACAGATCGACTATAAAAATGGCAACGGAGGCATCGTCCGGTAAGAAACAGCTTCATTTTTTTAGTTACAAGCTGCTCTTGCAAGGCAATTCAGAAGGCCAATATTCGTTGAAATGATGGCGACTACCGCGGTCCCAGCGTACCGAGGCTGACATATCGGTAATTTCGTCCAGCCGTCAGCTGGTGACAGGCTGCCGTCAGGACGATCTCCGTGATAGGCTGCCGTCAGGACGAGCTCCTCTGTCAGGTGACGGACTGCCGTCCGTCTGTCAGGTGACGGACTACCGCCAGCTGACGGCCGTCGGCCGCGGTGCCGCTCGCGGCGCGCTGTCCTGCCGTGGGGTGTTACAGCCGGCCGCTGGCCGCCGTCTGAGGCCCCGGGTCGGACCCTCACAGGCCGGCCGGCTGACCGCGCGGTTTGGCCGAGTTCGGCAGGCGGCCAGAGGCGGCGCGTCGACCGCGCGCAGAGGCCCGAGACTGGAACAGAACGGCGGCCGACGGCGGACCCGTCAGCGGGCGGACCGAGCAGAGACCGGACCCGGACCCGTCAGCAGGGCGGACCCGGATCCGGACCCGGACCCGTCAGCGGGCGGCTCCGGATCCGGACCCAGGCTCCGGTCAGCGGCTCCGGTTCCGGACCAGGCTCCGGTGACCGCACCGTTGCGGCACATCGAACTAACACGGACGGCGGTCCGGACAATAATATGTTATACTGGTCACTAACAGAGCTGGGAAGTAGCTACACATTCAAAACGGCGCTACCTACACAACAGGTCAACATACAATCACTGCTACTCAGCTACACACACGGAGCAATGAAGTCTTTCTACAGGATCGAACATTCATCTGATGCGTTTCTATCAAACAGTACACTCTACATGTTCCTAATACAGGCGAGGCAACTGCGTCCGATCCTGAGCTACTACGGTCAACGCCAGGCACACTGAATGCCTAGGCACAGCTAAACGGCAGCGTGACGGCTGTAGGGTGTCACGTGACCTACCTTTGGTGCCGGCCGGCCAATGTGTTATCAGGGAGAGGTGTCACGTGACCTACCTTTGGTGTCGGCAGGTCCACGGCGCCGTCATCAGAGTCCTCGTCCTGTTGAACCTCTGAGAGAACCTCCGTGAACAGCACGTCCCACACCCAGGGACGGTCCGGCTGCGGGAGGGGGGGGGGGGAACAGGTCAGGTCACTGGGACCCCACAGCACGTCCCACACCCAGGGACGATCCGGCTGGGGAGTGTCAGATCAGGTCAGGTCAGGTCACTGGGACCCTACAGCACGTCCCACACCCAGGGCCGGTCCGGCTGAGGGAGTGTCAGGTCAGGTCAGGTCAGGTCACTGAGATCCTACAGCACGCCCCACACCCAGGGCCGGTCCGGCTGCGGGAGTGTCAGGTCAGGTCAGGTCAGGTCAGGTCACTGAGATCCTACAGCACGTCTCACACCCAGGGAGACGTGTCACAGGCTGCGGGAGTGTCAGGTCAGGTCAGGTCAGGTCAGCGGGAATCCAACACTGTTACACTGCACGTCCCACACCCAGGGAAGGAAAATTGCAATTCAAAATAGACAGAAAACTGGTTGTGCGTTTCGAGAAACCATGAACACCGTCCCACCCTGTCCCATTGCGCCCCGCTGTCTGCCGTGTCGCCCCACCGACCTCCTGCACGTCGGCCGGCTCGGTGAGGGCGCGCGTCAGCAGCCGCAGGTCGATGTCCTCCAGCGCCATAAAGGTCGGGTGCTTGAACAGGTCGTCATTGAGCTCCTGCATGGTCACCACCCGGTTCACCCGCGCCCTGTCCGACGCGCAGACACAGCGAGCGCGTCAGAGGGTGGCCGGGAGCCGGACTGGGGGAGGGAAGGGGTGCAGGAAGATGTTTGGGGAAAGGCAGGTGGTGCATAAGACCGCGATAGCACCTCATCTTTGTGACCAGCGGAATGTGAGCGAGAAAGACAGCCATCCAAATAATCGCGGAAAACGTACTGAGAATAACAGCATGGAACCAAAGGACTACATAAAAACGGTATATTCCCATCACACACAGTGATCCAGTAATCTTGACAGGACCGGCCGCGTCAAACTGCTACAAGTAGTCCGACCGACCGTGCTGCGGCGGCCACCTGGAGCGCCAGGTCCCCGGTTCAGGTCCCCGTGTTACCCCCGCTGACTGACCGCGGTGCGGCGGCCACCTGGAGCGCCAGGTCCTCCTCCTGCACCTCCTCCAGGTCGGGGATCATGGGCAGCACCGCGTCCTCGTCGTCCCATGTCGCCGGACGAGGCTTGGCCAACGGCTTCGACTCCGGAGCGCTGAGAACCGGCCGCCGGTCAGCACAGAGGCCGATCAAAAGATCGACTTTACACGGTGACCAGGCATCTCCACAGCGTATGTCGATTCACAGGGTCAGCTGCAGCGGACATCGACAAAGTCTAAACCGATTCCCATTTTTACTTAATTCAGTACAGTTGTACGAACAAATGAGGGTGTCTAAAACCCGGTAGAGCCAGAGCCAGTGGGCAGCTATCTGCCCCGCAATGTCCAGCGTAGTCCAGCCGACTCTGTACCTGGAGGTGGTGGCCGGGTCCTGGAAGCCGGACCTCTGACGGCGGCCGACCGGCGGACCGGGCGCCGGGGCCGGCGAGCCGGGCGGCGGCGCGTCGCCCCAGCCGGTGACCTCCTGGCGCGGCCGCGGCGGCGCCGAGGTGGCCGGCCGCGGCTCCGAGGACGGCGCCAGGTAGCTGGTGCGTGGCCGGCTCTGCGGACTGCTCAGGATGTCATCCAGGTCGTCCAGCGGGTCCCCCATTGCAGACAGGAGTCCGGAGCAGCGGGTAGACAAATGGCTTCTCACACACAGCACAGGCCTGGAAAGGCACACTCAAAAGTCAAAACTTAGCTGTCTACCTACCAGTCCACATTGCATAATATGAGAAACTTCATTGCTCTGTCATCTATCAGGCTTGGGGGAATCAAATTAACATGAGGTATTCTGTCACGTGCCTGATGGCAGCCTGTCCGAAGCAGAGACGTGGCACCAGGGCTGCGGAGTCGGAGTTGGAGTCGGAGTCCGCCGGAGTCGACAGTTGTGACCGGAATCGGAGTCGGAGTCGATTTTGGAAGCCCGAGCCGGTATCGGAGTCGGAGTCACCGAAAATCCGTCGACTCCGCAGCCGTGCCAGGTCTGCGGAGTCGGAGTCGAGAGTTGGAGTCGGTCGGAGTCGACAGTTCTGCCCGAAGTCGGAGTCGGAATCGGAGTTAGTTTTCGAAAGCCGGAGTCGGAGTCGGAGTCGCCGAAAATCCATCGACTCCGCAGCCCTGCGTGGCACCTCTTTTAGATCCACTTCTCCAGCATCACCCAATCAAATAATCCCCTGCCCCACCAGCTTAGAAGGCTGCACTGAGATATTGGACATGCTCAATTTCTGGGTTGCATCCGCACTTGTAAGGAGGAATAAATGATTCAGCTTGTTTGCTGCGTGACATGATGTGATGTCTGAATAGTGGTAGGGTAGGTAGGTACCAAAAACCTACATTCTTATCTTGATTTCGCATTAACCCGCGCCCCACTGGGAGGGGGGGGGGCTATTCATAGCCCCCCTCGCGTTTTTCTGCAATAACTTCTAAATCGCTTGACGTATCGACGCCAAACTTTCAGCACCTTCGGATGCATCAATTTGACACCTTGTGTCAAAATATGAACTTCGTAGCTAGCATAGGTCGTCCGGAAATGACGTCAGAGTGACGTCATGTTCTGCCGATTTCGACACAAAGCATTGAACCACGATAATCGCTCCTAAGAGCTCAGTTTTTGAGCTAGATCCAATTTCTTTGCTTGAGAGGACTCAGAAAAGACTGCGCTATAAAACTGCAATTTTGAAAATATTATACATTACAATCTAAAATTTACATTTTTATCTTGTATTCAAAAAGTTTTTGACTTTTCGAAAAAACGGAATATGTGATAAAACAAATGCTTATGACTTACTCTAGCAGGTTTTAGCCAGATATCTTAAATAATGGGCCAAGTTATACACATTATAGCTAAAACTCCAGGATTATAAATTTTCAAATTAATTTTTCAGTGCGTATTT